AATGTTATAACCTACAACAAAACATGCTAGAAAGTTTATTTAAGTAGTTAAAAACTTACCTTTCCCATAATGCCCCCAAACTACTGATCTTCATCAACTGGTTCCTTAAACATGCCACAACACAGACTTAAAGCTGCAAATGAAAGAGATCATGGTGATAGCCACTAATCTCAGTTATACACTTTGCTAGGAGGCATCGTAGATCAAGGTGCTACACACTTGTGAGGGAAGGAGCCAGCAGAAACTGCAGAGGAACTTAAGGGAGGAATTTACAGGAATTAAGCTAGAAACAGCAGTGGACCTAAAGAAAAGTTTTCAGTGTCTTGACAAGAAAAGTGTCTAGCTCTTATCTAACAGTCCGAGTGATAACAACTGAAAGATGAAGGATAATTTCCACAAGATAATCGCATGTAATAATCCTGTGTGTTGATGAAAAAACTGTGGATCTCAGCAGTGAGAGAATGTTATAACCAGAAACAGATGCATTCAAAGTCAAGAAACCTGGACAAAACTGTACTTTTTAGTCAAAAGTTGAAAGAGATGTTACCAGCCGTGAGAGTATGGCAGGGGCAACCTGAGATGTATGACTAGGGAGGTGGACTTGCTGTTGACAAATTCTTGGCAGGAAGAAGTGACAGAAAAATGTAAATTCATGCTGAGAGAAGACAGCCTTGGAAGAGATAAATGCTCTGGGGACTGGGTGATGCCATAGTTTGGCCAGACCAGCTGGATGATGATTGGTCTTCTTTGCAGGCCTACAGAATTTGTCATGGCTAAGCTTCACTGATTCTGCCCCACAGTACCTACAACAAGGTTTATTCAGATACATTCTGGTGATTCCTGCTTAGCCTCAGAAGATGGTCTTTTGTTTGCAGCAAGCCATTTGCTGCTGTTTATATTTTCTATGAATGATCATCCATTTTATTTCTTGTTTCAAATCTTTCTATGTGAACTGAGAGCATAAACCCTGGAAGACTGATGATTTGAGCAGTGATTGTAGGTGACCATTATGCCCAATATTCCTAAGATCTTTAATTTTCTTCCTAAGTGCAGAATAAACTTCTAGGTATAAAAATCTGGATGAGAAAACATATACATGACACAACACTTACTTAGAAAAAAATATCTTTATTGACAAACTGGGTTACTGTCAACCCAGTACTATCAACCCACAGCTACTGCCAGGAGAGGGGTGAGTTCATGCTGACCTCCCATGTCAGCTCATTGTTTCAAGTCAGCTTCCGAGCATGTAGGCTTGTAGACAGGAGTTACTTTGGCTGCCATAGATGTCATGTGTGGCATTGATGGCAGTCCATCTGTGTCAACAGTGTGAAGTTCTTTTTCTCAACTAGCACCAAATTTGAGGTCTGCAGCAATAGATGGGAATGGCTGATACGCTCTATGGAAAAAGTCTGTCCTTTCTTTCTAGATAATTAATTACTTGGAGCCAAAAGGGGGTCTCTAAAGCTTTCACTTTACATTTTTTCTTGTAAGTCTCAACAGGTGAAGAATCAACAATCAGTGTTTTCAGAGGTGAGGCATCTCTCCCAGTTCTTTGACCATAGTCAAGGCTAACAGTCAATTTTTACATCTCATTTATGAACTCAGGAATTATCACTTCTGTGGGCACTGCTACACAGCAGCCCCTCAGCTGCCTGCAATGGCCTGTCAGGGAGGGGATGTGCTGTCACGCTCATTTGGTGGCTTGGGGTTGTAGCAGCACGCACAGACCTCATTCCAATGCAACCACTGCTGTGTAGGCCAACCCTTTCTGTAGGTGAGATACATGTGAAATACACCTGATCAGGCAGCTGTCATTTGTGGGCTCTTTTAATGCCATAGGTGCCTAACATTCCCAGTGTGGATACAGGGTGTGAACTTCACTCTGTTGATGTCACCGATCTTGTTTCCTGCACGCCTGTTATTGCCTTCACACAATGGTATTTCGCCAGGCTGGTAGCTGTTCCTGTGGCAAAACCTTCCAGCCTAGACAAGCCCTAGAAGCTTGAAGTGTTTCATTTCTTTCGAGGCAGTTACACAACAGGCCTCAAGCTCCCTGCCAAACGCTGTTTTTTTACAAAGTTGGCACTGGGGATGTAAGCCAAGTATCACAAACCTGTGAAGCAGATGAGTGTATGTTAGTCAGTGAATGACAGGGTAGATCAGCCAGGAAGTTTCAAACTGCATCACGCTAGAGCCTGACTTTACTAATGCTTTCTACTTCCTACTCCTACTTTTATCCTAAGATCAGATAACGAGTAGCAGTTTTTCTTTGTAACAATTCATTAATCAGAGAAATGATCCTTGCTGGTGTTTAGATGTTTTACTTAATTTGGTACTTCTGGCCTGCTGCCCCAGCAGTGCCAAAATTATTATTTCTCACCCAGCAGGTGATAAATAACAACTTCAGTCATGATTAATACCATGAATTTCTCAACCTGACTAATGCAAAAACTTCAAACCTGCAGAACAAGTGGGTGCTAATTGTTGTGAGACCCATTGGAGCTGCACTCTGCTTATAAAGAAAGAAAGCCACAGGAAATGAAGTGTTTTCTAGCAGCACAGCTGATCCTAAGAGGCATCATTAAGTGCAGCTCAGCAGCATTCTCCATGTGTAAGGCTATGCTAGCCTCTTTTTTTCCACCACACTGAGCTTTAAGTACATTTGAAAGGCAGGAGATTGCCAGGTTGTCTTTCTTTCCCTAGGGAGGAAAAGGGGAAATAAAACAAAAGGCAGAGAAAACAGCAGTTTAATATCTCATTAACACCACTCAGTACTAAAATTTTTATAACTGATATGTGAAAAGTGATAGATCCTAGTAAAAGCTGCTCCCACCAAAACCCCTTCACATGTCTCCCTTGAAATCTCATCACATAATAAATGGCAGCATCAAGAGGCTACCCAGTCAAGGAGAACTTGCTTCGGAGAGGAACAGGAAAACCAGAAGATCAGGGAGGACTTACAGCTGGAAACAATGATCCAATATTAAAAATGACCCTATAGCTGAGACCCTGGCCACTTTCAAATCACCAGATGGTTTGTTACAGTCTGTGGTGGAGTAGGGTGGTTGCTCCTTTTCCTGTGCTGTACTTAAGAGTGGCACAGGGCACACAGGATCCACAGTCTAGCTGTGTGTACAGTTCTGTGCTGGGCAGGCCAATGAGACTTTCACATCTGGAACTGGAACCTTGTATATTTCTGATAGGAGCAGACCCCAAAATCCAGCAAGGACATGAGCAGATAACTGTGCTGAGGGGGAGTCTGTGCTGAGCAAGATTAGTCCACTCCACAGTCCCACAGAAGCATCTTAGGAATGGAGAAGCAGTCCTGTTTTCACCAGGACTTCCCCAATTGTTTTAGCTCCATCAGGTGAAGAAAGTGTTGAGCACATGCCTATGAAGCTAATTACTTGTGGAAGGAAAAGACTATGAGAAGCAAACCACAATGGTCAGGTGACTGGTAGTCAGACTCAATTACATCTATTGACCTGTAGCTCTGAGAGCTGTTGTGAATTTGTGTGCTGTTTTGGTTGGGTAACTCCTGCACTTCCTTGCGGGGCATATTTAGAAGGTGAATGATGATCCATGGTACAGTTGCTTCTGACATTTTTTTCTGTTAGAAACCTAAATATTGTCTTAATCTGGGGAAATTTTGGATGTTCCAGCTATCTCTCTTCACTCAAAATAGCGTGTAAGAACTTTGTATTTTTGAGTCTGAAAAGCTAGGAAAGAAAACCATCATCCCCACTGTCCTGCTATGTGAGACAAACCATAGGCCTTCCTGGCCTGATTCCTGGCTGGTGCAGCAGCTGTGCTTTAGTCATGGGAGATCTCCTAGAAACACCCACAACTCAAGAGTAAAATTCTCACAGACTGCACATGCACAGCCTTGTCTACCAGAGGGCCACTCAGACCAGCAGAAAGCCCTCGCTACTTTGCCTCGGAGAAGGCAGCTCAGTGTCCTTGCTCCATCCCCTTGCAAGAAAGGCTATGGGGTTTGGGTTGGTTTGGGGTTTTTTCCACCCTTGTTTTATTGCTGGTGTTAGAACTTTTCATTCCCTTTCCTGAGCTGTGCCTAGCACTTCAGGAGCAATCCGTTTAAGTGTCCTTTGTAGGACTGCAGCTTCACTGAGTTAAAGCACAGCTTGCCAAGCAACTGTTGGTCCTTGGAGCTCAGCCCAGTCTGCTCCACAGCACTAATCACGCTACCAATGTCACTTGAAAAAGCATAATGGTTTCTTGTATTTATGAAGTACAAAGTCTGTCATTTGGCTAGGATTTTAATAGCTATTTTCAACACGGGTAGCAAAGCCAAGATTTTCCTTCTAAGTTTAGATATCACCTAGAAAGAGGTGCAACCTGAATTACAAACCAGCTCTGTAGCAAATATGCCATACAGAAAGAATTCTCTTCAGTCAAGGAAGTAAGGAATGCTCTTTTCCATTTAAATCAAATTATCAAAGTCACGCACGAGGAATGAGGGGGGTGGTTAAACTTTCAGAAACTTCAGTGTAACTTGAGAGCTCAGTCTCTGCTTGTCCTCTCACTTCAATACTGGAAACTTGATGTGATTTGCCTGTCTCTGTATCCTTAAGTGGAGTCTGGGTAGTTCAGGTGGATTTACACAAATTTTCTTTGCAAGAGATCAGTATCTTTTGCCCAACCACTTCCACAGCATTTATTTTCTAGATGAGACATTCAAAGCAGGTTAATGCGTATCGCTCTGTGGGGTTTTTTTTTTACTACTCCAAAGTTATAAAACTCACTGCATGCTACTGCACAAAATCTGCAATAACTTGCTGTTCAGCATTCAAGGTGTTTTATTACCAGAGCTTGCTCTGCCTCACCTTCCAGAATACAAACGGTTTCATTCAATGTTGTTTCAAAGCAATTACAGAAAATTTGCTACAAGGTGGCTAATGGCCACTGAAGCCTTGAAAGAGGAGGAACACATGCCCACCTGCACTTTTTCAGACCAATAAAAATTAACAGGTAGGTTTAGAAATCCATTAAGTAAATTAGTCCTGTAGTTCAGTCTACTGGTAGTAGAATTGTGAAAACAACAGAAGCTAACTTAAAATCTTTTTAATTACCCTGGATTAAGATCCTTGAGCTTTCACACAGGATTTCCCCATCACCATGGCATACTAACTTTAGTCTAAGTGCTCAAAGTAGCATGTATCACAATATTCTCTCCAAAAAAAAATATTCTCTCTTTAAAAACAATATTCTCTCTTTAAACAATATTCTCTCTTAAAAAAAAAAAAAAAAGCAAGTTTGAAAGAAATATGTGGGTTCTCAGCTACCAACTGTTTGATAGTGGAAATGGTCACTAAGCAGTCAAGAGCTGATGGGGTTTAGTTTAAAAAGGTATTCAACATAGAGACGTGTGAAATTTTAAGACTGAAATGCAGGACAAGGGCAATCTGCCTCTCCTGGCAAGAGTGGTTTGATGAAAGACCAAGACACCCTTATACACTGATACTTAGTGGATTTGACTGCAGTAGGACTTAGGACTTTTATATCCAAAAACAGGCAGTATGAATTCAGCTCTGTTTTCCAGTCCAGCTGGCAAGAATGGCTCCCCACAAAAGCAGTGAGTAAGCAGGAGTGGTTCAGGAGCCTGTCATGGGAGATGCAGCCAGTCCAAGGCATGCAGCTGCTTTCTTCTCAGCTTTTAAGAGAGAAGGAAATGGCAGCCAAAACCTCATGACCATTGTATAACCATTTATAACCAGTTCAAGCTATTAAGTGTTCTGACACTGAAGCATACAGTCAAATGGACATACTTCAAAGTAAGAACACAATGGTTCCAACAAGCCAAACAGCCTGAGCTGGTTCCCAGCTGTGCCCATGACTTTCTGAGTGCACAAGGTTTGTTTCTGCCACCAGCATGTTCCTGGTGGTGCTTCTGGAAAAACATCAAGTTCAACTGACACAGCAGAACAGAGTAGTACCATATAATGCACTCAAAATAATACTAGTCAGATCAGTCTTTACCTACACACAAGAACTCTCCCTTGAAAAGTTCCAAGTTGCCAGAGTTTTTGGAGCACCACAGTGATATTTCTGTGTTTACTTTTCTATCACTGTGGCTACATGTACCAAGAAAAATGCAGAGGCAGAAGGACCAAGACATGCCAGCCACAGGCTCACAGTGACTCTTTTTTCTATGAGAACCACATCTGGTAGGTAGATCAAAGTTCAGGAGCAAAGTCAACATACTGGAAATGAAAACAGTGAGGCAGACACTTACCTAGCAAATAAGTTTCTTAAATAAGTTGCAGGAAAAGCTGGGGATTAAAACTGGGAAACTACAGGAAGAAAAAAAATTATAATAAAAAACCAAAGATGAATGAGAGATAAAAGCAGAGGCAAGACACACAAGATGAAGAACTGACAGCCAGAATGTACTTTGACACAAAAATAGGAACTGACTGAATAAGATCACATTAATTGTGTGCTACAGATCTCCAAGACATTTTTTTCACCCAATTTCTGAATAAGTTTTAGCTGAGGCAGACAAGCATTAAGATCTCTAATGCATGCTTTCACTCCCAGCCTAGTAATTCTAACTATTTCACAAATTTCTTCCAAGTGTCCTGTCAAAAGATCCCACTTGTGAACTACACAGAAATTAAATTTAGCAAAAGAGGCATTTAGAAAGATCAGAGATCAACTTTCAGTGTTTTATTTTTTGAAACAGATATTTTTCCAAGGTCACTTTACAGTAGGTGGCATAGAGGCTATTAAAATGGAATCGCTCATACGGACATTTCAGCTTAAATGTGCACAGTATATTCTACAACACAAAACCTGTATTTAACATCTTTTCTTGCTCCAGAATGATTTGGCAGCTTCAAAAAGCTAACACACATTTCCATTCTCAAAATCAATTTCTTGAGCAATGAGAAACCCAAAACTGCAACATGATCCACCCGAAGCACCACGCTTATCTTAGCAAGGGCCTCTTGGAGGATCGGGCTGCAATTGCAGAGCTGTCTTTGTCGTGACCCTCAAAGTACTGCTGCTCTATTCGCCGACAAAATGCTGTCAGGTTACTGTAGTTCTTCACTTTTTCAGAGAGTTCATCAGTGATTAGTTGAGTAGTAAGGATTGTGAACAGATGTCCAAACACCAGAGCATCTAATTCAGTTGGACTAAAGGAAAAAAAAAAAAAAAAAACAGAATTTTGGAAGACAAGTATTTTGGAAGACAAGTCCTGATCAAGAAAAATCATGCTGTTCTGAGTAACCTTTAGCTAGCCAGGCAGTCTATGAATTGGGATGAAATCAAGCAAGGCTAAATCAAATGTATGAAATCTGTGTATAGGGTAATATTAAGAACCCTGCTTGTTCTCAGGATGGCATTTTCCTTGCTTTAGGGAGCTTGGAAATGTGTAAATAACATCTCTTAGATCAGACAGACTTACTGATCTAGTTTCAAACCATTCTCCATCTTTTAGTCTTGTAACAAGGGCAAATGCTTATCAGGTGTTTTGTGGCTCTTTTTTTTCTTCTGCAGATGTGTGTTTAAAAAAATCCAACCATTATCTCACAAGGGAAAAAAAAAAGGAGACGAATGGAAGCTTACAGCCCCCACTCCTTTTTTTGTGCTCTGCAATAGTTTGGAATTATTCAACCAACAAAAACGGGAGTTCCACAGTGGCAGTAGCTGGAACCATCCCTTTTCTGAAAGGGGATTACACAGAAGAAAACAGGTATTTTTTATTTGGGAATGTTTTAGGTATGATGACCTTTCTGAATTGTCACCTTGGACTTTTAAGTAGTCCATGTATGTAAGTAGTCCATGTAAAAATAATTTTTTTTTCAAATCTATTAATAAGTTAAGAGTCTCCCTTTACTAACATTCAATGTATGCAGCACGAAGCTTTCCTAACTGATAAAATTTTTGTCGTTTTATTTTTGGATCACTAAACACTCTCCAGTGGAGATATGGACCCCTGCATAACAAACTTTAATCTGTCAGAAACAGGCTGCTTTTCTTATTTACCTCCCAAAGACTCATGGAAGTCACAGACTGAAAACCACTGAACTAAAAACACATATTTTCTTAGTAGTATTTCAGACTAAATATTTCAGTTAAAAAATTTAAAGGTTGAAACTACCAAAAAAGCCTGGTTAACAACCAACCAACACAATTCCTCACGTTACAATTCTTTAGAAATACAGAAATAAAAATTAAGAGATACTATGTTTAATAATCTAAGGAGAAGATGCAACTTAAAGTCATCTTCTATAAGGCATATTTCTTTATCCTCTGAATTAAGGCTACTCAACTAGTCTCAACTTTGAATAGATTAAGGGGGAAAGCCACAGTGCAGGGAAGTAACCAGATGCTGCCAGTTGATGACATCTCCCTGTTCAAATGCAGAAAACTGAAATCCAGACCTGAGCATTTCTAGACTGATCTATGCACAGGAGACAAGAGGGAGCTAATGTGATATTATTTAAGTCTGTAACATTTCCAAAATTGTGACTTAATTGAGAGAAAAAAAATTTAAAAGAGCATATTGCAATTGAAAGAAACCTGTGAGAGCAGAGGACATTCCATGGAAGTAATTTCTTTTTTCTCTCCTGGCAATGTGAATCTTGCTTTTCACTTTGCATTTAGTTCTTTGTGGATAAGCTAGCTTCTCCCTGAGTTCTTAGAACTCACAGGCACCCTCATGCTAATTCAGTTCATTCAGAACTGCTTCTCATGTTAAGACAAGCTGATCAGGTTGGCACAACATACATTCATGCCTCTAGCAGAGAATGTTATCCAAGAAACAAAAGTAAAGCTTTAAATGTATCATTTTTAATAAGAAACTAACTATATAAAAATGTACATTTGTAGCCTACATAAGTTGTGATAGAATTTGTAGAGAAGACAAGCAGCAGTCTTGCCGAAATCATAAATACAACAAACTTACAGAAGCTTTCCCTTTAAAACCTTTAAGTACTTATTCCTGAAATTTCATGTTTAGATTCCAGTCACACATTTGTATTTTTGCAACTAATCACACAGCATTAAAATAGAATAGGAGTTTTATATAAATACATTTGTATGTATGTGGGTATGTACCTATATCTCATATTGCTGGATGCAGTATTTCAATGAAGAGTAACTTACTGCTTATTGAAGAAATATGGTTGTGTTCCTAATCTCTGGGAGAGAGCATGACAGCACTGATCTACATCTTCAAGCACCTATCAAAATACACAAGAAAGAAAGATCCATATTGTCAGGAAGTAGCACCATTGCAAGAAATAACCTCCTTATTCTAGTTGTACCGACAGTGGGAACAAGGAAAGTAACATGTTAGAATATCAAAAGCTGTTGGAAGTCAGACAAACCTACACAGCAGGCAGGTAGCAAAGTGTTACCTAATCTAACTTGTGATGTAAGGCAACTCTGATTAAATGCTTACCGTAACATTTACAACTAAGCTTAATGACTTAAACCCCACAACCTGCCACAATCCCGCAAAGAGTGCCTATCAGCATCATATAGGAAGCAGGGCACAGAACTCACAACCTATTTTCAGGACTATGGCCTAAACTAACACTGACAGAGTTGTACACTTGTAGTAAAACATCCTTCCTTGAACCCCATCAGGTTGCACGTAATTTAAAATTTATTGCTGCTGAAGACAAGCACCTGACTCCTGATAATGTTTAAAGTACAGAATATACATTTCACTACATCTGTTTCAGAAATATGCTACTCTCCAATGCCTATTAAAAAAATAGAAAAAAGAAATCAGAAGGGAAACAGGGTAAAGAAATAAGATTCCCTGTTCATACTTACCTGTTCAAGTGTCTTTCCAGCCCATCCGATGGCTTTCATCTTTCGCCTGACCTCCCACTGCTTCTGATAGGACAAAATGCGGTTAAGAGGCCACGGATAAGGAGAGCCATACCTGGGGTGAGTAATCTGTGTTGAAAAACAGAAAGGTACTGTGTTATCATACAAGAAAATATAGATACCTCTTAACAAAACAGCTGATATTTAAACATTTCTCTCAGAAAAGGAGCTGCAGAAGAGAAAAGCAGCTGTGTGCATGCTGAAACTATTTGCACAGAATCCACTGTTTGCAGCATAACTATTTAAAGCTGTTCTTTCAGAAACATAAACAAAACCTGTATCTATTCTGCAGTCAGCTCCCTCCAGTAACACAGCTTCCCTAAAATGCGTATGCAAGTGAAATTAAAGTTAAAAGACTTTATCATTAATGGTATAAAACCCCATGTTTCATTTATGAGTAGGGACTTGCAGTTGTGAGCAAAAGTGTTTTCTCATTAAATTTTAATTAAGATGAATGCTGCGGAACCACTCACCTCCTCTACTGTAACATCATCACACCACTGGAGATAGAGCTAGGAAAAGAAAGAACACTTACTAAAACTTCCTAATAAAGGAGAATACAGAGACAATAATTTTTCACTAGTAGAATTTCCTTTTCTGAATTAGATTTAAATTTCCATTTAATTTCTTTTCGTAGACCTTTGATGTACAAAAGGAATTAAAACTGGAAGAAAAAAGCCCAGCTGCTAGTCTTGACTTCACCAGCACCAAAACTAAGCTGAGACTGAAAGCCTGCTCCTGTTGCCCACACCACACCCAGCTCCAGGCACAGGTGCCCAGCCCTCAGCTCCTCAGACACCTGCATCGTCCCAGTGCTTCCAACACTGCTCCCAGGCCAGGACTGAGGCACCTGAACTGGCCACAGACAGGCAGCACAGAGGATCCCAGGCTCCCAGCACGCACAGCATGCACATGGGGACAGTGACAGTGGGGTGCCCGGCCAGCACCAGTAGGACCCCCAGGAACCACTGGCATTTTCTGGACAGTTACTTCTACAGCTCTGTGCCACACTTGACATAGGTGAGGGGAATCACACGTGGCTACAGGAACAGGTCAGCAGTATGTGAGAATTTATTCCTTATTATTCATTTCACCTCAAAAGCTGACAACCTAATCTAGGAATAGCACTATTTCCACTACAGGGAAAAATCCTAAACCTTTCTTGCCTATAGTGTGTAGAGTTACTAGGGTTTGCTGTACCTCTGCTGTCAAGAGCATATTATTGACCAATTCCATGTAGGCTTTCATCTCTGCTTTTTGGACTTCATCCAACCCATCACTGAGAGAATGGCCCTAATGGGGAAAAGAAAAAAGACACACATGTAAGAATGAGTATTGGAATATTCAGCAACACATGACCCAAGGACCTTAAACATCAATGAGCTTTGGCTCACATCCTATTCTCTTACATAGTTCAATAAAAAATTACATATGAAATTTTTACATACAGTATCCTTTACAATTAAAACCAAATCATCATAATTTAACCAATCTATAAGAAATCTAAGCTAATCTACAAGAAATGTAGATTATTATCAGTTATAGATAAGCACACTTTGAGCATACAGCCTCCTGGTTAGTGTATCCCTATGGCAAGAAGTAAATACAAATTTACATCTGTGATACAGATTCAACTTCTCAGTGAAAACATGGCATTTTTAAAATAGAGTGGGGGGCTGGGGATGGGAGAATAAAGGCAAAGTTGAAAGGTATCTCACATTTCAGGATTTAAACAGTCAAATCTCGGTTTAAGACCTCTGGGACCAAGAGACAAAGCATACTGGAAAACAGTCTCAGAAACTGGCACTGGTATGCAGCTATTCTGCATAGAATTTACTTGGAGAATTTGAGGAAATGACAAAGAAAAACATTTTTACCTCACCAACTTCTGTTCCCCTATATCTTTCTCTTAAAATAGCACTAGATTCCTATATTGTTTCAACAAATTCAGTAACATTCCAGAAAAGCACACAAAATCAGTGCAATGCTAAGCAGGATTCACATTCACTAATTAATAAAAACAATGTACTATTACCTTGGCTTTTACAAACTGGACTATGGGCCCAAGTTCAGATACTACTTGATTTCCCACATGAATAAAGGGCACTTTGCCTGTAAAAGGAGAAATGTATTGTAGTAATGAGACAGAGGGTGGTGGGGTGAGAGAAGGGAACAAATGCAAATCTTCTCTGAATTATCATTAAACCAATACAAAGAAAGGAAACAAGGTAAGTGAGTAAAAGTGAGTAAAAATAGTAAAGGACTCCAGGTGTAAGGGAAAAAAGAATACATGTAATTCTGCCTACATTTAAAATTGAAGCAGTATCCTCTTCCCTCTTGTGCTCCTTGTTTTTAGAAGAAGAAGGAAGTGTTCAGACCTAAATTATAACATTAGATGCCAGCAAGTGTGGGCATGAGATTTGAGTGGCTGAGAAGCCATAGCATGTAAGTGTCACCAATCCTAGTCCTTGACATGCAAGATATTCCTGTGTGCCTGGATTCAGCATTTCAAATTCTCTATTTACTAACAAATAGTTCATATAACTGCATATTTTGCTTTTGCAGAGGTTTCACTCCTGCCGAGCAATTGTTGGTTTTGGGTATTTTTTAATTTGCCTCATTTCACTGTTTTAACCAAAAATATCAGTACCAGCAGTAGAACCCTTATAGCTGGCAGACATGTACTGACAGGCACTTCCATGTGGCACTCATCAGCCAGAGCCAGGTAATCAGTAAATATGGACCTCCTGACACAACAAAAATCTGGGACAGAGTGCGAGGATCTCGGCACCCTGCGTTCTGTAATTATTTCTGAAATTTGGGCAGTATTCTGAAGCTGGTGTCTGGGGGTCTTTAGGCAGTTACCTCCAACAAAAACAGGCTGTGTACACTCCTAATACTTAACTTTTTGGTGGTGGGTTTGGATTTTTTTCCAGGCAGTCTCATGGATCTGAGGAAGATCTAAAATCACCTGTCACCCTTAATAGTGAAAATGTACCCTTTGGTCTCCTGTATCCTGGCAATCAACTCCCACACAGAGTAACAAAAGCAAACCTTTCTCCAGTGTTGTTTCACTCCAGCAATAGGAAAATATAACAGCATTTCCTGGAATATTCCCTGGATGCAGAATAAAGCCATTTTTGGACACATATGTCTTTCTGCTTTAGGACATTTGAGAGAAGGTTTCCATCAGCCACTGAGCTATGTGAACACTTTACACAGGTACTGTTACACATTGTGCCAATGTTACTTTGCATTTCACTGTTTTGATTGCTTGCAGAGGAGAAACTGCTCTGGAGAGGAGGGGGAAAGGCAACCCACACACAGTAGCACTGCCCGGCTGTTATCAGCAAGACAAGGCCCAGTTGCCATGGTATCAAAATGGAGGTGTAACACAGTAATCTAAATGAAGGCCACACTTACCAGATGGGGACATGTACTCAGCGTTTGCCCTGCAAATCACCCGGACTGGCAGATTGCACATTTGCAAGAAGGCCTGGAAACAAAGAGTCGCATTTGAAAAGCATTCATACACCAGTGGCAAACAAATGTGGTGCTCTCAGTACATTTGCCTGTGTTAGCTGGTTCCAAGCACACACTTATGAAGTATAGTTCCTTGCATACTGTTTTTAGGAAGAAAGAAGAAGGGTAAGTAAAACAAAGGCATTTTAATTTCATTAGACAACTGTTTATCATTCAAACACTGACTGGAATTCTTCTAATGCAATTTCATCTGTTTTTTCGAGATGGGGAAAGAAGCAGTATCTGACAGACACAATTAATGCTGTGGCTGAAACTGAGTGACATTTTGCCCCTTTTAAAAACCACAATACTCATTTCTCCTGGCTAAAGCTGGCTAGTCAAGGCAATGTTATGTAACATGGCAAACACATATGGCACCTTCCCACATTATAATTACAATAGCTGCCAGAAATTTTGCTCTGTGATACTGTCAAAGCACAAGTCTGGTTTGGGACAAAGTATTTTTTTTTTTAATTTATGAGATTCATGGAGAGCATAAGTGATCAATTTACCATTTCCTTCTATCTGTGTTCTTAGATTCAAAGCTTTCTCAGAAGGATAACAATTTCTGTCAGCACCTGCCACTACCACAAAATCCATAGGCTATTTCTGTTGAAATACCAAAATGTCAAGGCAAATAAATATTTGCAGTTTTGACAGAACATGGCAAATACAGAATCTCTTACTCACTAAAGACTCTTACAACTCAGCTCAGTCCTATCATTAATTTTGTGTCTGCAATTAGACACGTCACAAGTCCAGATTCCAAAATTATTCTATTGCCTATTTATACAATGAGACTTGAGGTAAAAAAGCCTAGAGCAACAAGGTTCCCACCATGAAGAAAAACAGTGCTGTAACACAGCACTTCCTACACAAGCCTCCTCCTCCCTGCTCTTCAGATGGCAGGATCTGGCAGTAAACCACAATCTCACAGCTTTAGCTGCTCAGACTCTAATCACACACGAAAGCAACCTTAACCTTAACATTTGCTACTCTTCATAATAGAGCACAGATTCTAGTAATGTTAGAAATCATTTAGTCTATCCTTAGCTAAAAAAATAAAAATGAAAAAGAAATTTAAGAAGACCCTATAGATTTGATTTGGTAAACACCAAATCAAAAACCTCAGAAAACTTCTTCGGAATAGTCACCCTCACTTGTGATGAATGCTTCATTAAATGAGAGACCAGGACTGACACAAAGAAGAATGATTCAGGCTTAAAACTGGATAAACCCATCCAATACTGTATTTACCACATCAGGCTTCCTGTGAGGTTCTGAAACAGTGACTACTGACTACTGGAGCTGCCCCTTCAGCAGCTTTACAAGGCTTCTTCCAGAAACCCCCTTCAGCATCCCCATGCCAAGACCTGTTCCATTTCAGTCTTTGCCTATATTTAGGATTGGTTTTAAGATAAGTGATGAAATAAACCTAAATATATAATATACTGTGTAAAATTTTAATAATATAAACTAAATATAAAACACAATAAATCTAAGAAAGAATTTTTAACAAAACCCTGCCATTACCTCTTTTAAAAGATAGAAGCCCAGGGAATAAAAAGACCGATATGTCTGTCTGTTATGAGCTGTAACTGGTATCCAAACCATGACCTGCTCAACTTTAAGTGCTCCTTACATAATGTTCTGCAGCAAAATGAAGGAAAGGTCCACAGTATAAGACAATTTTAATCCTTATTGAATCTACACTGCTTAACTAATCATTAACTAGAGAAGTAGGCCAGTATCTACTTCTTGCTTCAACTTAAACTAATAGTCCACTGGACACCCTTCAAGTCAACTAAAATATTCATGTGAATCAGTAAAAGGGAATAGTATTATCCCAAATTAGGAGGGATCAGCCTAAGAAATAAGCCTTGCAATTTGCATGACTATGACTACTTACATTCTTTCATTGTTGTAACTGGCTTGGGAAATTTATTAGCATTAACAAGTCAGGTGGTTTTGACTTTTCAAGTACAGTGAATGCATTCCATACTTATGGAAATTATAGTTTCTTTTAGAAAAAAAAAAACCATGGGCAAGGATCATGACCACTGCATTCCTATAAATATTCATTGCCAGAAATTTTTTTCTGATGTGTTCAACTAGGTATGCTAGATATTAGACAATAACTGATATTAGACAGTAAGTGGCATGAACTATTACCAAAATAGTTGAAACTGGAACAGATCAAAGAAATCCTAGAGAGAGAATATAGGACAAAGCAGCAATTTCTCTGAGTCTTTATCTCATTACAAGCTTTAGCCTAGTGATCAAGGGAGGATTTGTTCCCTTTTTGACCACTCACACAGAATGTCAAGAACCAGCACATTTGGTGTGCAGATGGTATGAGACCACCATGGCTTCCAACTCTGATAAAAGATGCCACGGAACACTGATTACTTCAGCTCAGAACATCTTGTTTCCCTTTGGGTACCTCACATACGCAGTTTGAGAAAGTTACCCTTGCTTTTCTTGTGAGAGAAATCTTCTTCTGTGAGCAAATGGGAGTGTGCTCAGCCCCTCTAAGTGCTTTTGGGCAAGAGATTGAAGGCTGAAACCACCACAGTGCAGTTTTGCTGAGATTTATGAAGATATCAACACCCCTTCAAAGACACAGCATCAAAAGTTGAGCAATCTGAAAGACCAAGGGCCCAGGCTTATTCTAGTACATTAGAGATTATTGTTAACATCCTAAAATTGGCTGATCAATTTAAAAAAGGACTGAAAGGGGCCAACCAAATTCCAAGTAACATACAATCTAGTTAATGACACCTTTGTGAAAATTCACCAGAAAATGGCAAGCAAGTAACAGCAAAACTAGAAACAAGACATTTAAATGAGCACAGCCCACCCCACCTCACAAATATGCCTGTAGCTCCAAATAACAGCTCCAAGTAACAGCATTAAATTTCCAGCTCCCTTCTCCTCTGGAAAAAAATGTGTACTACCAAAGAACAAAGAGGGTGACACTATAGGCTTCAACCTGGATCTCCTCCAGCACCAGATACAGAGTGTATCCTTTCTTTGGATGAGGTTAATGTAATAAACAGATAAAGGCATTACAAAATAAAGATTTAGCTTAATAGGGTCTGTCAGTTTCTCTCCCACACATACTTTCTGCCTCTTTCCTGCAGTCTAACAGTCTCCTCTCTCTCACACTCTTCCAGCCTCTCCAGCTGTAGCATTACCTAACGCCTAGAAAGTGAAGGAAGAAATATGAAAAAAACATTTTTGGCAATGACACCTCTTTTTTCCATACTGAAAACATTGAGTCTACAGTGCTGCTACTGCCCCTGTGCACTTTGTTTTTAATGGGAGACTTTGCTGCAGACAGAGATGGAAGATTTCTGCACATCCTTGAGGAGAAAGGGATGAGAAGGAGGCAAACAGATGCAACCAGTAATGTTGTCCTCCCCTATTCCTTCCCTACTGTTACAGAGTAGGGAAGAAAGAGTTGTGGGCAATGAATTGAAGAAAAGTATGGGGAAGCCTCTCAGTGCCTTTCCTGCCCCACTGCACACTGACCCACACAGGACTACGGTTTGTATTGAACTGCCTTATACTTACAGAGAAGCACATGAGCCACTGTTTTCAAAATCAGGTGGAACAACCAAGTTTATGTTTTTGTTGTGAGAGAATGAGGTATTGGTAACTATGTGAACAGGGCTGATAGGAAGCTTTGAGGTGACACTTGTTACAAAATTAATCAAATATCTTATGTCTATCATTCATTTCAATCATGGCAGGTGACACTTCCTGCCAGAATTATGGAGTATATTTACAACAGCATTGCTTAAAAGACACAGTCTATGTAAGGCTTGCTTCTTCATATAGCCCACCCAATTTAAAATTCAAAAGATAAGTAGAATGCTGGATTTCAATTATCTAAAAATCAATCAGAGCAATCACCTTTGAGCTGATTTGGCATAGTTCAAAAGTCCAGAGCCCAGAAACCACAGCCAGACACGGGACAACTCATCCCAACCTTCCCTTCCTCCTTCCTCCTCACCCTCCTCTTCTCACAGAACTGAAATTCTCACCTCCACGGCTGCCACCCCCGGAACAATGCAAGAAAGGGGTGCCATTGTGTCTTCCTCTGATGACAAGTATGGGAAGTGACTGTGCATGAAATACAATGGGAAGGCATAGGAGAACGGAGAGAGGAGGTTTTTTGTTTATTCCTAGAGTTTATTGGTTTAGGTATGATTTTCACTCTTGCTCTCCTTTTCTCTTTGCCCTGCCAGCTAAGGCCACCGTCAGCTGGACACGACACGCATTGGGCAGCAAATCACCCTGTCAGAGCTCCATCACAATGCTCTCCTCTTCCCCTACAGCTTCCTCCCAGAAAAACACATATGAGCAAACACATACACTCATTAAAAATGAGTTACAACTTGAAGTAAATCATATCCAGATTGCAGTTTCTGAGATCAGAGGCAAGAATGAAATTACTTATGCCAAGACTCAAATAGTTCACAATTTACGTCGCCACATGAGGAACACTATTTTCAGATGGCACAGTCCAGGCTTCATTTGAAGAAGATGTATTCATGATTAGCTTTTAATAAAGAACAAGCCATTCCAAGCCATCTCTTATTCAGCAGCACTTCTAAAGGCACTCACACAACATACTGTTAGCAAGAAGGAGTGAAATGCATTTTCTGTTTTCATTTTTATGTTATTTCATGAGCATACAACGGACAGTATGTGATGACAACTAAAGAGTTATTCTCTACTTTACTGCAGGAACACATTTTAAAATTAAAACCCATGAAGAAATCTACAGAATAATTCAGTTTTCATATCAAACAGCTGCAGTCCCTGTAACTGAAATAGTGTGTCTAAGGTTATAAATGAAAACTGTTCAGTATCATTGCTTGAGTGACAGATTAAATTCCTAATCCAGTTATGGTAATGGCCACATGTGTAGTTTAACATAAATTAAGATCTTAATTATATTTGTGACTATTTTAAACAAAATAACAAATTCCTCTGTACCTGTGAATGTAATTTATAGCAAAGCCACGTTCATTCTCCAAAACAATCTATTTTATACTGCATCATGGCACTGGCTCTAATGGTATAATGTAATTCTTGCTGTAGAATGCAGAAAGAGTGGATTCACTGGTAGCACAGAGGTTTTGAAGATAAATGAGGATTCTATTCATTCAGAGGTAATTTCATCTTAGAACTATATGAAAGATGTTTCACTCACAAACCGTACCTGTATAGCTTGGGATTTAAGCATGTTTTCAGAAACAACACAACGTTGCAAGATGGATTATGTTGATACTGCATTTCTCATCATGAAGAATTCCAGCTTTTGTTCTCTTTTTAAAAAGAGGAATTGGCAGATTTTCATTTCAGTACCAAGCTTTTGTTTTGAAAACTGCAGCAACAAGTTCAAATTTCTGCCAATGTTTTGTCTAGAGAAAAACCAAACCACAATTCATACACACACACAGAGAAAAAAAAATCACAAATCTGTCAAGGGCAATTAATCATGTATGATTTACACATTTATTTGATTACTTGTTGAAATAAATAAGCAATTGGTCTGTATAACATAATTGTAAATTGCCCAAACTTCCTTCTGTCATTCAGGTCTAAGAACAGGCAATTTTAAAAGCACTTCCCTGGAATATGTTAAGACCACTTACAAGGACATAGACTGCACAAACAATTAATATATATCTTAACTAAATGACCTGCAGGCTCTCTAACCTCAGGACAGCTGTCAGAATTTCCAGAATTCTGAACATTTTAGACAGCCTTTTGAGCAAGACTATGAGACTAACTGCATAAAGATTCCAGAAGAACCTGTAATAAGAGAGGCAGTCTCAACATCCACATTCCTCTTCCTGACAAGTTGGAACAGTGCAAAAGATGCTTTGAGCTGCCATTTAAGGCAAGAGGCCTGGCAGAGTGCAGCTGTATTAACCCATTCCCTCCTACTTGGCCAGGCACTAAACAAAATGGCTTTACCTGCACCAGGCATCAATAAGGAGACAGCCTGGACAGACCCTCTGCTTCAGACTGAAATATACTCTCCTATGGTAATTCTATTCTAATCTACTTCAAACTCCATTCTTCCCTCCTTAAATTTGTAGCATTGTTTTGTTATTGAGATATATTTGGGGTTTGGTTTTGCTGGCTTTTTTTCACTGTGATAAGCCAGATAAACAGGAATGCTGTATAATGGTAGTTGCACAGTAAATACATGGAGAATGGTTTTAACCATGTGTCATGTTACCCAGGAGCTATGTTTTCATTAACATTGATGGGAAGAGGGCTGAGGGTCTCACAAGAACAGAGCTTTCATTCTGTTACAATCTCCTTTCAATAGCTGGATAATCATTAATGATTAGTATTTTCCCTTTATTTTGATTAATTTGCAGTGAAAATAACATTTCATTCAATATCAAGGCTTTGCAGCCCAAGATCAAGTGGACTTTGCTGTATAATACACTACTTCACGTTAACAAACAAGAAGTGCAAACACCAAGATATACCAGAGATAATGCACTTGCTACTTGAAGTTATGTTGTATTTTCAGAAAATACTAAGAATCTGAACACAGTAAAAGACAAAGAAATTGCTAAATTAGTCTGTTTCCAAAATAAACAATGAGCAGAATATTCATTTTAAACAAACAAATAAACAACTCTACCAGAATCAACAGAGAAGTTCCTCAAGATGAGCGAGTTTTGGTTGATTTTGAACTACTATAGGCATCAGCACAGTTACTCAGCAATTCCCAGAAGACTCTATCATTCCTTCTCTCATCTGACATGTGGCTGGACAAGAGTCCAGATTTTACTGCACAATGAGAAGTTTTAAGTCAAATCCTTATTAAAACAGCCAGACTCAACCAACTTCCTATATTCAACCTGCAGCCCTCTCTACTCATCAATTACATCTGCAGTGAGAGTAGCTTGCTCTGCTGTCTGCTTCATCTGCTCCATTAACAAGCAGTACCTGAAATGCCATCTGTGTTACAGGACTGGCAACTTTGAAACAGTCAAGTTTTACTCTATTACTTACTATGGCACTGGATTGTATGTGTTATTTTAGATATCAGCGTGTATGTCCCTCTGAGACCTGAGAGCAGCTTTACAAAGAGGTGCTACAAGGAGATGTTATAAAATACCTGAAAGTCTGGCTGTGGCACATTAAATGTCTTGCTGTTAAACCATGTTTCTTAAAGATTTGATGCTGGCTGATTCCACATGCTCTTTCTACTCAAATTTCTGATGTTTTCACCACATGAAAGTTCAACAACCACAAACAAGGTACGTAGCTGCTCTGGTGATATTGATGTGCCCTAAATCAGTAAGAGGGGGAAAAACAGTGACAGTAGTAGGAAAGCAGTCCCAGGTACCAGCTCCTATTTCTCCTCCTATCCCTCATTCCCAAATATTCCTTTGAGAAAGACACACATCCCCCAGTGCCCACCATCCCCTTTAAAAAAACCAAAACCAATAAACAGACAAACAACCTCTCATCAAAATAAAAAGCAAATTCCTTATGCAAAACACACTGATGTATTTAAACCTCTCTGATCAACATATATTCTAGTATTGTTTCAAAATGGATCAAAGACACCAAGAATAGTTATCCTTTCCCTGTCACAACCATGTTACACAGATTCTTCAAAATTGATACAATTCCTCAATACACAATTATTCTATAAAGTTTAAGATCAGATATCTACCAGAGCCATATTTATAGTCATGGCTACTATCAGCTGTCCAGCTAGAGAATATTGAAGAAAAACAAGGACTTTTAATATATTATAGTTAATTTATCATCTAAGTGACATGTGTAGGATAACAATGTACTAGAAACAGTAAAGAAAAATGATGCATTAGAAAAGGAAATTCTAGGGTTATTTTGTTGGTGAGATGGGGGGGTGGGTTGTGTTTTAAATACAAGCCACATATACATGTATTGTTAGATGGGAAGAAATGAGATGAGAACCCCCAAAAATACAACTGTTGGGGTAAAAAGGAACACTGAGATCAATATAAAACATACTACTCAAACAAATAAACACTGCCCCATTTATTAGGTGTATCAGAGGTGATTCCTTTTTCCAGCAATGGATAAACCTAGCTTCTTCCTGTGATCGAATTCACTCTTAGAGCTATCTCCTAGAGTACCAGACTGGAAGGAAAAAAGTTAAGAGATCCTGGAAGTAGCTACTATGATCAAGTGATCCTGACGTTTTTACAAGTAACATCAGTTACAATCTCCAGGTGACTCATTTTTGGTAAATGATATGTGACCTCTTTGGGCAGCCCTCAAAGACTGCTTGCTGAAACTTCTCTGAGCTAGACCACACCAGGAGAACAGTGCAACTCTCTGCTAAGCAAAGCAGCCACAAAATTGCCTTGAAGGACAAGAACCTTACAGACATCCTGCTCCCCACCACTCTGACAGCCAGGCCTTTGTTACTAACAGGGAAAACGTCCCCTTGAGATTTGGGGTTACTGAACCTTACAGGTTAATGAAGATTACATGAACTTCACAGCCACAGAGGTGCTATTAAGTCAATTAGAGGTGCAAGTTTGTCAATTATATGGACTATTTCTAAAAATCACATTGGAGCTCCAGTCAGTACACATGATGAAATTGAGAAAACCTACCAGAGACATGGAAGGACGTGATGCTCATAGCAGGAAGCAAATATGCCCTGGGTTTGAGCATATTTGGGCATATTATTAGCTATGAGAATTTAATGACTGGCAAACATCATGCAAGATGCTACAAGACAAACATGCATAGCAAGTAACAAAAGGCACGAACCATGCACAGTTTCCAGAGTAAGTAGGCAAGCAGATATTCTACATAGACCAATACAAACAGGAATACAAGGAGCAGCATTCTACATAGGACTTTCAAAATCTTCAAATCATTTAGGCTCTGGCACTTCAATGACAACATAAAGCAAATCAGAGGCAGGAAGTAAGTCATTAGTTTTGGCAGAAATAGTTCTTAAATTAATCTTTTCAATAAATACATTACATAAAATGACATTAACATCTTTAGTTTAGAAAATATGATATTTTACCTGAACAGCAAGGGAAGATGCATTATCAGAAAGCAAAATTTGTTCCTCTGTTGAAAGAAAAAAAAAAGAAGAAAAAAATAAACCATACAATTACAAAAAAAACAGTGCCCATTTAGCTACTGACCTGTAACTGTAAACCATACTAGGCTGCATTTCTTATGCATAAGGAGCATAAGAAGGAGCACATATATAATTATTATGCAGCTGGACTAGAAAATCTATAATATGAATATTAAAAAACAGGAAGAAAATACCAGGAATTTTTCTCCCACAACTGCAATTGCACTTATCATATATTACCACCAATGTTCAATAAAAAACACTACAAGAAAAAAAACCCAAATGCCTGACTTTTATGCCAATTACTCTCCTTCTAATCAAAGTTAAATAAAATCGCATCTTCATACCTCCTCTGGCTAAAATGTAGAAGTATTCAGAAACCTATAAAAGCAGCTTGCAGCTAATATTGCACACTGTGTCTAGGTCTGTCACGCAAAAGAAAGATGACAAGTTCACTGCAATAAAAATTCCATGCTTAGAAGACTAGAGCTGCTACCTATTAGTCTTCATTACTTTGCAGTCTTCTGACAACTGTAGCAGGCTGCTGAGCCCCAAATGGGGGCCATAATGTGATCTGATGATATATGAAGAGCTGCTAAAGGGAGAGTGAACCATCCTAGCCTATACATTTTAACAGTTCCTTTTTACTGAGAGCCCACTTTACCACAAGACTTCAAAAATCTGCTGCCTCAGCTATTGGTGCAGTAAATCTGCCAACTGTGCCTGCAACCAAATCATTTTACACTGGCTACAGCCGCCAATATAATGAGTCAATAATAAACCAAGGACCTTATAGGCCATGAATAGCTGGTTTATATTGGCAGATGCAAGCATAACTAAAACCTCTGACCAAACAAAAAAAAAACCACAAAGGACTATTTTAACAGTTTCTGTGTTTCCTTGCAATTAATTATCTTAGTGCATATTTAATGTGTTTTCTAAAAATAAAGTAAGTATTAATTGCCAAAAACAGTGTACCTACCCTTCAGTTGCTGATACAATGCAGCATTTTCAGGCCAAGGCTCTGCGGCTGTGGAAAGAGAAGAAATTAATTAAGCAAGCTGAATACCAATGTGCTTATAAATGCTAATGGAGCACAAATGTTACCCAGAGCAAGAACTTAGACTGCAAAGATAATGATGCAGTATTTAGCCTGCTCTAAAAATGTCCCACTGACACGCCCTCCTCCTGTACTTCTCTGCTGCTCACAGAGGGACATCATGGAGAAGAAAGTCCCAGAATGTAATGTTGCAAGAAGAGCTAAAATTCAAGCTATGTTACAGAATAGCCTTGTAATTCTGAAGCAACTGATGCCGCTATTTTCCCTCCACCATAAAGATATCCTTATGCACATTCCCATCCTAATTCTGGCCACTCCCAAGAGCAACTACTGATTAAAGTACTAAACGAATAATTCTGGAGAGAAGAGAACAAGACGCAGAGGAAAGAAGCACAAACCTCCAAAGTGTGAAGAATGCTTTAGGAAAATGGAAAAGCTTTCTGCCTTTTCAAGTTGTGTTCTTACCATCCTATGTAATACCCACAGAGCCAGGAGCCCGGGCATGTCAGAACTCTGCCCACCAGGATGACCAGGGCTGCCTATAGCTTTAAGTTATGTACTGCTCAACCCTCAAATGGGAATGTCAATATGCATTCAAGAAACTGAATCATCAGTTCAAAACAGTTGAGCAGTTGTTAAAAAAATGAGGCAAGGAAATAAAAGACAATCACATCCTCCAGTTGAGAACCATTGCATGTAATCACTCATACACCATATGAATGTAAGAGAAGGCAAAAATAATAATCAGTACCAATTTACTGTTAATGGTAGCATTAAGGTAACAGTTCATCACATTTTTGTATTCATTACATTCCTTGTTAATGTCTGATTAAAAATCTGTTTTTAAATATCAGTTCAAACCTTGCATTCTGCCCAAAATAGCCTTTTGTAAACAAAGTTTATGTTCTAATCATGTAAATTATTTAAAGCAATAATGTATATAAATAGCTATGTGTGGATCAAGCATAAATATGTCACTGGCTTAAATAAGGCTTTGCATCTTTGCCTTTAGAATTCAAACAGAAAAAGTGAAGAATTTTCTATCATTCCTTTTGGATACTCATGAAATATTAACTTTTATGGAAGTCATACAGAATATAATGCTTAAAACACTGTACACAGTTTTGTGAAGGTCACTGCCTCTAACATTAAGGCATAGAGCCTATCAGAGTGATACTAGTATGGGCATGAGAAAGCAACTAATCACATTTAAGTGTCATGGAAAAATGTTTTATGTTTTATTGTAGCAGATATTGGTTTTACACCCCGTCATTAAAGTTTTGCCCTGAAGTAAAAATTCTTAGGTGGAAGTACATTTACATCTTTAAATAAAAAGAATCTAAGATAGTGTCTGCAGTACTACCTTAAGCATTTAAAATAATTTATCGAATGTACATTTCTTCAAGTACACTGAAGTCTTGCAGGAGCAAATGGAAGGAGGAAATTAAGAATGTTATTACTATATTTTAGCAAACTTATCAGTTCTGGACTCTGAGACACTTACAGAAGTAACTAAGTAACAAAGTTACAATGATCTTGTAAATGCTCCAGCCAAACAGTGAAAACATCCCTTTTACACGCCCAAAAGGGTACAGAGAACTTCAATTGCATGGGCCCATTCCTACTGAAACTTTTTGCCTGATCCTCTTCTGACTGAAATGTCAGCTTTATAACTAATTCTTAGATTTCAGCCTAAACTGGAAGTCACCTATTTTTTACACAAGCACATAATTGAAATATTTCTGGACTACAAAAATCAAGCAAACTTTTCCTTCTCAAACAAAAGAGCTAGATACATTCCAAGAAATTCAGATTCTAATTCCAGTCTGATTTTGGCACTAAGCTATATGCAGCCATGGAGATACAGAAATAATACACACACACACACACACACACACCAGCTTCTTGGCACACAGAATCCAAAACCACACTGCTGCTAAGGCATGATATATCCATGCTATAAACTAAAATACAAGTAGATTATACATACACAGTTTAGTTGTGTACTAATATATGTTTCTGACAAGTAAATTAAACAAGGAAAAATAGCCAAATTAAAATCTCAGCCTTCACTATGAGTACACCTGGAACTCCAAATT